AGAGGATCAAAATCTAAGCATTTGATGATTTCTGGATTTTTTTTTTCAGGTGATTGCTGCACTGAAATACGCTCAACGTCGTATTTCAAGAAAACAATTTATAACGTTGTTTTTTGCTGGAGTCTCGCTGGCGTTCATGCTAGGACTTGCTGCAATTGTCCTTTTAACTTATGCTGGTTAGATCTTATACATTTTTTTTTTTTTTTGAATTTTGCAGAATGTTTTATTTGCCAATTTAAAATTTGTGAAATTACGAAATTTTCGAAAAAAAAATGGGAAAAAGCGGCCGTTTCAATAGAAAATATCTCCGAAATTGGTTGCTTGAATACTTCGATTAGCTTTAATTCGTAGTTTCGGTTCTCCAGCTATGCAGTTGGCAACTTTTCCATTTTCTTTAGCCATTGCTAGTGTTCATTGTCCGAGGAAATTTAGCGCTAATTTTATCTCCTGTAGAAACTACACTAGCTCGCTGGTTCTTCCGATAAGAACGTTTGGAAAGATTTCATCCGGTTCGGGTGTATTTGGCATCACCGTCTCCTGAATTATGATCTTTTTGGATAAAACGCGATTTATGGAATAGTAACAGAAATTGAATAAAAGTTTAAAAGGACAAGTGCTAAGTTGAGAGTATTATTTAGAAATTTTATATTATGTAAAATATGTAAAATTTTAAAATTTTTTACTGAAAATATCTGAAATCTTATGCAAAACTTTTTTGAATTTTTAATAAAAACATGTAGTGCACAGTAAAGAGGAATGTTTCGGCCCATTAAGTCGTATACGTCGATTTATGGATATCCTAAATACAAATGTTTTGCATTTTTGTCTGTTTTTTTTTTTACTTTTTTTGTAATTTCTAGGTTATATTGCGCCATGGTCCGGCCGCTTTTATTCACTTTGGGATACCGGATATGCAAAAATTCACATTCCAATCATCGCGTCGGTGTCCGAGCATCAACCAACAACTTGGGTGTCATTCTTTTTTGATTTACATATCACGGCTGCAGTTTTTCCAGTTGGCCTATGGTACTGTGTTAAAAATGTCAACGATGAAAGAGTCTTTGGTGAGTGGGTTGGCATGTTTTTTTTTGTTCTGAAACATGAGATTCTTGTCTTTTTTTTTGACTTCATGAAGTTATCTTATGATTTTCGAGCTCTCATTTAGCATATTAGTTGCCAACATAGCTATTGACAAGTAGCACTTTTTTCGAACCGTAAATCGAAGTTTTTTTTTTCGATTTCGCCACTGAGGTCGTAAATTAATCTATGATTTGTTCATTCCTTTCGATGCTAAGTTGGTACTGGCTCATGCCGAGGAATCGACCATTTCATCGGCTCACTTTTAAGCAGTCCGCGAAACTGGTAGATTTTTGACAACTTTACCAACGAGTGGTTGATACTGGCATGTACCCTCACTGGGGTTAAGTTTGAATGCTTTCGTCTCTTATAGCGATCGGATAAGAATAGATTTGACTTAGAGTTAACTTTTTTTGCATGATACTCCAATTTTGGAGTGAATTTTATCATGATTTTCCTCTGCTGGAACATGATTTGTCTGATTATTTATTTATTTTTTCTTTGATTTGATTTCTGTTTTCAGCTTAATTTTCATAGATTAAATTGGAAAAAATTTTAAGAGATTTGACATGAAAAAAATAAAAACTTTAGGGAACCGTTGATGAATTGCTATAAAATTTTATTGCAGTGATTCTGTACGCCGTAACAGCCGTTTATTTTGCCGGTGTGATGGTTCGTCTGATGCTTACGCTTACACCTGTTGTTTGTGTGCTTTCTGGCATTGCTTTTTCGCACACCTACGAAAGATATTTGTTTGATGAGAGTGAACAATCTAAAAGGTTTTTTTTTTGCTTTTTGAATATAAAATTTCTTGTTTCTTAAAATTACTGTATGGTGAGCAAAGTTACTTCTTTAAAAAAGTTAAACTCAAGAAGGTAATCACCCCTGAATAACGTTTTTTGTAGCAGCAGCGATGAGGAAGAAAATAAGCATTTGTACGATAAGGCAAGCAAAAATCGAAAAGGTGGATTATGGGCGAATCAGGTAGCAACGGAGGGCGATGATGCAACGATTGGAATGAATGCGCGATCGATTGTTTCAGTAGTTTTGGTGCTGATGCTTCTAATGTTCGTCGTCCATTGCACCTATGTAACAAGCAATGCGTATTCTCATCCATCCGTTGTGCTACAGTCACACAGCTCCGATGGGTGAGTTCTTTTCCTAATTTTAAAACCCTCTACAACCATGTTAAACAATCGACAATCCCAGTGAATCAGTCAGCTTTTACAGCTTAGGGATGAAACATAGGCCACTTCCCAATATCTCTATGGTTGCAAATGATATTTAGATTAATCCGTTATTTCTGATGCTAATATTCCGCG